CCTCGAACTCGTCACGACTGCTCGCACTTGTGTTGCATTGCTATCCTTCAGCAACCGCTATTCACTGTCCCCTGTTCCCCGTTAATAAACGCCGCCCACTGTCCATCTTCTCCGCTTTCCACCGCCCCCTACTATTAGTCGTTGCAGCCATTTTTTAGCGGGGGGTCTGATAAACCTAGGCCGTCGAGCCGCATTTTTTGCAAAGTTCTTCGCGCCTGCCCGTCCGCCCGCTCTTCCCTTATACAACTTACTTTTTCGCTAGCCACCGCAGTCGCTAGTGGTCGTTGTTGATTAGCGGCGGCGTGGAGTTTAAAGGACGCGGTGAAACGAGAGCGGCACGGGGGTACCCCCTGCTTCATTTTACTCTACCTCATATTGTCTTGTCTTGCCTCGGCTGGCGTCGTTTCATTTTGTCTCGACCTCGACGTCAGCCTCATGTGAAATGGGATGCACGCTTGTAGCTCTGTAACGTACGAAACTGCGCGTCTGGCCCTTTTTGAGTTTCTGCTATGTTGGTGAAATAAGACGTGCCTGTTTCAGGTGCAGGCGCATACAAACTGTACCGTCAAAGACTGTTCATATGGTGCTGTCCGGCGAGCAGACATGCCTGGACACGGTCGGCATTTTGATACAGGCGAAAGAGAACGACCACGGCAGAGGGGAAATGGCCAATGATAAATGCGACGCGCTGCAGACCAGCCGAACATACCACTGCCAGCGTTGCCTGAACCATGGCAAGAAGGTGGCACGCAAGGGACACAAGCGCTTCTGCCAGTGGGGCAACTGCACCTGCGTCCAGTGCTCACTGGTCGAAAAGCGAAAGATACTGAACCGGAAGATCAACAGTGAACGCGAGGCACATGGTTCTCTCTCGGTCGACCGCGAAGACATCCAGAGTCAGAAAAGTATACTCTCCTCTTTTTCAATTTAATCATCTGTTTTGAGTTGTTCCTGATCAAACCGCGTTCAACCTCGCTACCCACCCTCTCACCTTCCGTTCCCACCTATTCATGTTCAAAATTGGCAATAGCCTTAGGCTAACCTCACTTTCCTTCAAAGCAAAACAAACATTAACAACGTTTTCCGAAGAATTGCGAATCGGACAGAGCATAAGGTTGCATGACTTGTTCCCGAAATATCAGAAGAAATGCAAAGATAACCACACATTTGTGCAAAGCTCTCAGAAGCAAGAATACAGCAGTATGACATTATTTACATTGCATTGACAGAAATAGAAAGTGAATGAAGCCGTATGTTCGAGAAATGTACTTTCCGCGTAAAGACTATGCAAAATAACTGAACAACTTCGCTCGTAGGTAGCCTAGTTAATCGGGTATTCAAAGGGTTTTTTTTAACGAATCAACTGCACTCTTTCTTTCCAGTCGAAGGCCTGCCTTTTGGTGAATTCTGCTCATGATTGTTGCCTAATTGTCGTATGGAATACATACAGGGTTTTATGTAATCTTCAGTGCTTATCAGTCGCGCTCTGTATCGATGGCACTCGCTGGACTATTTCAGAATGATGGCTTTGTGCTGGATCTTAAGGACCTTACGTTTGTCATTTCCCGTCAAGATGCACGCGAGGAAAAGAATGCATCTGTAATCACGTGTTATTCGT